CATCACTGGAGCAAGCAAGCCTCCTGCTCGCTTCAGCTGCATGGCTGCCAGCCGCCATCTTGGTTGGGTTAATTTGCATATCACACTGATTAGCCAATGGGAGGCGTAGTGAAGGTATGGTCAATTACCATGTTTGTCTATTATTAGATAGGATTATGTTCCATACATGAATATATATATTCATGTATGGCACATAATAAGCATGTGTTAACTGTTAGCTCTCATTATTATTATTCTCAGTGTTCCTTGAGATACAAATTAAACTCTGTCTTAAATTCTTTTTATAATTAAGTCAGTATAAATAAATTAGGATTAATGTGAGGGTAAAGAAAATGAAATCTAAAATTAAACTTGCTTAAACATTTAAGGCTTGGTAAATATAAGGCTATGGGTTATATATTTGTCTTTATATGTTGGGCTCTTGAAAAGTTACAGTAAAATGGAATGTTTAAAAAGCACTATTATATACAATGTGACTTTCCACAGTGTCTGTTTTTATTTTTATTTTTTTCAGTGAGAAGCAGAGGCAGAGATAGAATCCAGTCTCTGAATAACAGAGTCCCAAGGAAAAGAAGCAAACCAAAAGGTAAAATTTTTAAAGATGGATACATTTTCAATTACAAAACATCTAAATTCTCCTGCTATATTCTTTGCTTTAAGTAACAAACCTATTTCCCTAATCACTTTATGTAATTATACTAACTGTTGAGGAATATACCAGATTTAGTCAATTCCAAAATTCATCAGGGATTGAAAGATAACACTGCAAACAAGTAACTTGGTAATGAATCCACAAACAGAATCCAGGGCCCAGGGGTCATGGCAGGGCCACGTCTGCTAAATTGCTAATGTTCTGACTGGAAATACAGCTGGGGTGTTTTTCTAAAACACTACTATTTGCACTGCAATTTTATAAACAAGAGACATTTATGTTATTTTTCCCCCCTAGGGATAAAAGCAGTCAACAACAGGCCTTTGAAAAGAAGCAGAAAAAGAGGTAAAAAGAAGTGATTAATATACTTTTAGTAATTAAGCATCTACATTTTACATGCCCAGGTTGCAAGCTCAATCCTCAGCGGTGAACATGCAGGAGGCAGCCTATCAATATCAATGATTCTCTTTCATCAGTGATGTTCCTCTCTCTCCCTCTCCCTTCTTCTGAGTGACCAATAAATTTCTTAATTGGCTGATACAGCCAGTAACAAATGTCAGGGTAGTCATCAACCTTGGCAATTTCAACAATACAACAGGTTGCTCATAACACCCACTTTATTGATGTTGATCAGTTGACCTGTGAGAGAGCACAAGCCTCCTTGGGCCTAGGTAGGGCTCCCTTCACTGCACTGATAACTTTTAAGGAGAAAAATATGAAGTGTGTGACTAACATGCTGTTTAGTTGACCCTTCTCTTGATCACATAGAGACCCATCAGTTGCCCACCAAGGGGGGCCCTTACTGGTAATACAAGACTTGTGTCCTAATTTCTAACATTCCTTTTATTATGTAATTTCTGCTTGTCATTTCTTCTTTTTGCCTCAATTTCCTCCTCTGTAAATGGGTAAGTGGCAGATGAACTCAACTGAGTGGTCCCCTAGGCCCTCTCCAGCTCTAAAAGAACTGACTCTGAAAGGACCAGGGACAACCTACCCTCCCCATCCCAGACAGAAGCCCTCGTGTATATCTTTCATGGATCCCCCTTAATGTTGGCCAGAAGGACAGGAGTAGGTGCTGCTGCTACTAAAGTTCATTTTAAGACTTTCAGCCTGATTGATGTGGCTCAGTGGTTGAGCATCAACCTATAAACCAGAGGTCATGGTTCCATTCCTCGGCAGGGTACATGCCCAGGTTGCGAGCTCAGTCCTCAGTGGTGAACATGCAGGAGGCAACCTATCAATATCAATGATTCTCTTTCATCAGTGATGTTCCTCTTTCTCCCTCTCCCTTCTTCTCTGAAATCAATACAAATATATATTTTTAAAAGACTTTCAACCCCTACTTCAGCAGAATCAGAGCCAGTGCCCCACCCCAAGGAGGTACAGAGGCCCTCTTCCTGGGCAATCTGCAGTTTCTTCTAGGAGAACCCTGCCCTGATTCACAGAGTGAAATCCATACAGAAAGTTCACATGAAGGAGAAGTAAAACAAGGCAGAGAGCAAGGAGGGAAGGCAGACACTGTTCCTGTTAAGTTCCCCACTGTCATCCTGTTCTCTGTTCCCCCAGTGGGGCCTCAGATGGGGAGACAACTAAAAGTTGAGGGGTTTTTTTCCATCCACATAATTCAAAGCAATAATATGGCTAGAAATCTTCCTTAAAAACAGGAGAAAAATCATTGTGCAGTAGGTAGTTGTGGCCAACAAGCTTGGGAATTCAGGTCCTTCACATGAGGCTATTATGCAGGATTTCAGAGAACAGAAATGGAGGATGACATTATCATTGTGTGTCTAACCTGCCATAAAAGAAAAATGTTGTTCATGGGGAAACTCCCTCCACTACGTTTTGATTTATAAAAGAAGGCTCTCAAGATGGGTGAGAAGAAAGAGGGCACAGTTAGAAGAAAATGAAATGAAAGTAATAATAATAATAATGCTTCCTTGCAGGTCCAAGAATTCCCAGAGATAAACATATGAACTTTAAACGCTCTATACTTCCCGTGACCTGTGGTCCAGCAAAGGGGGAATTATATAAAGAGAAAATGAAACAAGGTAAGTTTTCTGGTCTTCTACGCTTTTCAACTGGAAACTATCCATGTGGATATTATATTGTTCAGGGGCTAGACACCTGTGTCAGGGTCTCCGAGACCATCCCAACACTTGGTGATTTACTAAGAGGATTCACAGGCCTCAGCATATAGTCTAACTCATTGCTATGATTTATTAAGTTGACACAAAGCAAAATCAGCAAAGGCAAAAGCACATGGGACAAAGTCCAAAGGCAATAGGTGCCAATTTCCAAAGGTCCTCTCCCAGTGGAGTCATACAGGACACATTTAATTCTCCAGCAGCAACTCATAACAACACATGTGAGATGTTATCTATCAGGGAAGCTGCCCTGGCCTAGGAGTCACAGGGTTTTTACCAGGAGTTAGCCACATAGGTACACTTTACCTCACATCTGCCAACATTCCAGACTTCCAGAAGGAAAGAAAGTGTTCAGCACATGCCCCATGGGAACGGTGGGACCCCTCCCAAAATCCAGGCTTTCAGATGTCAGCCAAGGATCAGCCTTGGAAGCAGACATTTCTAAAGGTAGTTGTCTCAGGTTTGCTCTCTTAGGTCTTTTCTGTACAGCATCTCAAATAGACTGGAGGAAAGATGACATTTCCTCACTTTTAAAATTCATAAACATTAGCCTACCAGGCCATCTTTCCTTTCCCCCAAGGAAAAGTCCCTATAATGCCCATCCAGCACCCAGCCCAAGAACAAGTGCTTCAATATCAGGGTAGAAATGTACACATTTGAGAAATACAACAACAACTTCACAGTCCCATTCCCTGCAACACCTGTACCACCTTTTTTTTAATATATTTTATATATTTTTCACAGAGCAGAAGGGAGAGGGATAGAGAGTTAGAAACATCAATGAGAGAGAAACATCGATCAGCTGCCTCCTGCACACCTCCTACTGGGGATGTGCCCGCAACCAAGGTACATGCCCTTGGCCGGAATCGAACCTGGGACCTTTCAGTCGGCAGGCCAATGCTCTACCCACCGAGCCAAACCAGTTAGGGCACCTGTACCACCTTATGCTAGCCAGGAGCACAGGTTTTAGAATCAGGGTACCTGGCTTTGAGTTTCAGCTATATCAAGAGTGTCTGTTGCAACTGGACCAAGCCATTCTTCTCTCTCATCCTAAACTCCTCCTCTACAAAATGGGAATAGTAATAAAACTTGCTTCACCATATTATTATGAGGGGAAAAATGGAATAACAGATATAAAATAACTTGAAAATTATAATTGTTAAAGTACAGCACAAATGTTTGGCAGCCAGGATTGATCCCCCCTCCCAAAATAGAGTTCTTTAGACATCAACAAGTATAAATGTGTGCCCTATGACTATATTGCATATGAGTAATTTAACTTTTACTACCACATAACATTTCCATAATTACTTTCCACATAAAATAGCCATGAATCCAAAATATGAGAAATAATTGCTGCCATTAACTGGATTATCAACATTGCACAAGACTAGACAGATGTGGCTGTGGTGACAGCTGCCACTTGGCCACCTACATGCCCTCATCTACCCTCTCTGAAATTCAGCCTGGCTCTATTCTGAGTCTCAGAGAAGGGATGGGAAAGAATCCTCGTCTTTGTTTTTAAGAGTCATACTTTTTTCTCTCTCTCTTGAATATAATTAAATACTTTTTAAAAGAAAATGTTAGTAATAATTATTGCCCTTCTCATTGCACAGTAAAGGAAAGTGTGCACACATGGCAGGGAGTCCCTTCTACCACCACCCTTCAGGTTGTTGTGGGGCCCCTAAGAGGGAACTCAGCTCTTCTGGGTTGTTGATTCTAAGCCCAAAATGGGTGGTAGGAGGCCAAGTTCTAGGGTTTTCACAGTCAGGGACACTCCCTGCAACAAAGGGAGCTCAGCGTGTCTTGTCCGGTCTCACAGGAATCTCAGCAAAGTGTATAAAGACAAATGATGGGAAGCAGCTCACCCTCAAGGAATTTGAAATTGAAGGAAACCACGAAAGGTCCAAGAATTGGAAGCTGAGTGTGCGCTGCGGTGGATATCCCCTGAAATACCTGATTAAGGTATCCTAATGACAAAGGGCTTCCATTAAGGATGGAGTGTCATAGTTCACAAACTCCAAGCTTTATCGATGTTCAGAAAACCATCATGACTTCCTTTGAGCAGGTCACAATGCATGCTATTACTAACTAACATTCCACTCCGGTATTATCTTGACCACTTTATCACAGTGTAATTCTAAGTGCATGAACTCTTCTCCCTTTGAAGGTAGACAGTAATTGTGGCCTTGACTCTGTCACTAGTAGTTGCCACTGTGTAATATGGTCACAGGAAAGTAATTTAAATTGGGGAATGGGGGGCAGAGGAGGCCATCTTAGGCTTTGGGGACCAATAAAGTAGCATAGTAATGTATCTGGGAGGCACTGGAAATACCAAGCTCAAAACAGTAGAAAAAGTACAGAAGTACAAAGAGGACACAAAGACTCCTCACAGCATTAATCTCATTTCTCTTTCAGAAAGGATTTCTACCAGACCCACCGAGAACAAGAAAGGTAATTATCGCATGAATTTCTGCCTATATCTCACCTATAATATTGTTGATTTTCCATTTCTCTGGCCTTATTCTATGGCTCCTAACTTCATTAATTCTAGTAAAATTTTATTTATAATATGGGGATTTTTGCACTTGCTGCTTTCAAACATTACAGTGTCTGAGACCAGAACTTCTTCAAGCATTAAAACATAAGAGATAGAGGTGAGACTAATCCTTTAAAATAGATAATGAGACAGAGCTGACCTTATATGATTGTTTCAACTTCATTGTCTAGCATGGAAGAATAACTCATGGGATAGGGTGGGGTTCTAGGACACCCAGAGATGCAGGAGTTATATGGCCACCTCTTTGGTCATTATGCCTTGGGTCCACTGGGTGGTTTCTCTATGGCCTCTCTGCCCCAGCTAAAGGTAAGAGCTGAGGTAGTCATTCCCCCAGGCTGAAAGGAGGCCCAGTCATTTCACAGATACCCAAGGACGATGCAAGCCCTTGGGATTCAGGAGACAGTAGAGAGGTACTCACCTTCAAGAAAAGATGCAGAACTGGGACTTTGTACCCATTTTATCCTTAGCGCTGTGTCCCAGGAGAGCTGCAGAGGCCGTGGAGTCTACAGAAACATTTCTTTGGCACCCCGGACTATGGGCCCTGTGGTCACTGGGGGCTGTGGGTGATGAGTCCTCAGTCTGAGTCTCTCATTTAAGCTCCAATTCCATCTGTGAAAACCAGGGCCAGCCTCCCTCCTTACATGGCTTCACAAAAGCCACCTTGGGTATAAGATCCACAGAATGGAATTTGCATTGGGCCAAACCATCACTGACACATAATTTAATGTTTTTTATTCTCCAATTAGATATATAGACTCACAAAAGCAGATGTAAAGCAAAGGGAAGGCATGAATCCTTTGCATAAAAAGTATGCTCAAATGTGTGGTTAATGAAAACTCGTATTCAATATTGTCACTCGATCTTTCTCTGTTTTCTATAGATAGTACCAGATTCTCACAGTGATAACATTATGGACCCATATGTAAGTATTGCCACCTGTAACCCCAGAGTAATCTAGGCCTTTTCAATACATTATCTTTGTCATGCTGTCTTTCCCTGAAGCATGCTCACACTCAGTTAGAACATGTCGCTGTGTGTGATGAGTAAAGAACAGCAAATGCATCACCCATACCAGGTAAATGGTTCTGGAGTTGGGTGTCTCAATGTGAAAGCATCCTTTCCATTTGTTTGGTGGAAACCTTCCTATTTTCCCATTAGTATGGGAGGCAGAGCTCTACACCACTGGGGTCTCTAGAGATGGGTCTTGAAGTAGAAATGGGCAGGGCTAGCTTGCCGATTAGGGGTAGGGAGCAAATTCGAGAGGATATCAGAATTTTAAAGAAAGCAGAAGGAAAGAGAGGAAAATATCAAACATCCAATCCATGGTTCAGCCAGTGATAAGATGGTTTCACACATCAGACAGAAGGAACAGGCCTCACCAGGTTGATGATTCAAGGTATACATCCTGTCATGAGTCTTGCAGAGAAATGTACTCAGAGCAATGTGTACATCCTGTCATGAGTCCTACAGAGAAATGTACTGAGTGTTCCCCAATTGTGTAACATGGGGAAATAACTAATGGGGTGGGCAGGGGTCCTAGGACACTCAGATAGGCAGGTGGTGTCACCTCTCAGGTCATTATGCCTTGGATCAAACTGGGTAGTTTGTCCATGGCCTCTCTGCTCCAGGCTGGAGGTAAAAACTGAGGCAGTCATTGTTCCAGATGGGAAGGACATCAATTCATTCTAACGATACCTACAGTTCAGAAGCCTTGACCCAAAAGCCTAACAATAGGCGGTCAGCATCCATGAGTCTCATTTGTTATGACAAAAAGGATAAACAATTACATGGCCCCATGCCAGAGTCAGCAAGGCCCATGTGGGATGTGCCCAAGGATGTCCCTAATGAGGCATTATACAAGATTTCCTATTGAAAGGGAGAACATGGGCAAGAGACACATTGCAGCTTAGAATTTCCTTATACATGTATGTAAGTTTTGTATCTCTTCTTATATTAAACTTATAAATGAAGAGAATGTACAAACTGGGGTATAGTCCAATTCACCCAAGCTCATTGGACCCAGAGATGATATTCTGACTGTTATGATTTGTAACTTTAGTAGCAGACCTTTTTTTTCTTTCCTGATAAGATGGTATTATGATTAGGGCCTCTACATTCTTGTAGCAGTGGAACTCACAGAAGCACTGAGAATGAGATGAGATATTTAAAAATTTGGACTTGCAACACTGTTGATAGATTGGATATCTAGGTGTGGAGAAAAGCAGAATCCATCTTCAATTCTGGGCTCCTGGGTGAATTATGGGTTCCTTGGTGAGATGGAAGCTAAAAGAGGAGCAGATTACAGACAGGAAGACAAGGAATATAGTTGGGGACAGGGTGGATTTTAGACTTGATGAAAGACTTCTAACTGGAGATAATGGAAAGTAGAGTGTGGAGGTTTAGGGTCTCAGAAGGGGAACAGGGACACAGGTTTTAAAGTCTAAGGATAAGTAAGGTAAGCATGGTCATGGGAGCGGTGAAGGAGTGGGGGACGTAGGACAGAGCACCAAGGAATTCCAACATTCTAAGTGAGGACCCTTCAAGAAGAGGCAGAGTTTTATGGGAGTAAATCCAAGGGAGTAGAGAATCAGAGAACAAAGCATAGTGTTTCTAGAAGGAAGAAGTGGAATGGCACTTCCTGTCACCTCCCCACTTCCTCACCACCCGCCAGCATCTCAACCGCCCATCACTGAGTGAGCCAGTCCTCAAGTCTGTGCATTATTTTGTACCTACGTTATCACAGGACAATGTGAATTCCTCCTTCTAACCCATTGTGTAGACAAGATATTTTCATCTAAGTGTAGAGCTGTTACCAACACATTGGGTGAGACATTCCCCCACCACAGAGTTCTCCTCAAACAGTTATCTATCTGCTCAGGTGGAGCCAAAAACTTCTGGACATTTCTCCATCACAGACACATGACCCTCATACATAGAAATTTAATATGTAGAGATTCACATGTTGTTGCCACATAGATTATCATCCACACACAAAATAAAGAAAAACATGATTTTTCTCACAGCCCAATGGATTCATTCCTTGGCCAGTTCTTACTTTGTCTATAATTTCTACCATCTTCACTGTGTTTTTTTCATTCCACAATACTTAGATGCAAACACTGTCAAATTATTGACTTCACTCAATGAAGGACCTGCATATTAAAATTGTGGAAGACCCAGCATCATTCAGTTTTGTGGGTTCTTCCATCTTCCTTATATAGAACAAAGCACCAGATCATCCATGAACCCAGTGGTTGTCATTGCCATACTCTCTGGACATTCAGAAATGGCACCTCCACACCTTTCATGCCAAGCTGAGTTGGGACATCTTCCCTAGCCTCCCAGAGCTAAAGAGCTCAGTCTAGCCTGGCATTTACCTGGTCATCTATGCCTAGGGTCTCTCCAACCCGGAGGTACTGTCACAGGCCCGAAGTCCCTCCAGGCACAGAATCCATCATCCAGTAATACCTTCCCAGGCTCTTAAACTCATGGGGAATGTATGGTTGAGAAAATGAGGTGCAGTGATATCTCAGGAGTTTATTCCATCATATTAAATTCTCAGTAAACCACTCTTTGATGAGTCAGTTTTGATGAGACAATATAGACAACCAGATAAGACACTGTATTTCTGAACCATATTTTTCCAACAGAATAATAAATATCTCAGATTATCTTTAATTCACCCTTTTTGTTGCTAGCCGAATCTCTGTCTCCATAGGGAAAACTTTCCTGACCTAATACAGCCGCTTCCTCCTGAACGTCACTGCAGACCAAAATGTCTTCTAAAAATCTCTACTCAGATATCTTTACAGACACAGCTCCTAGGGCAATGTAGACTAAGGAGAAAATAAAATTTAAAAAATGGGACTACATCAAAATAAAAAGCTTCTGTACAGCAAAAAAAAAAAATCAACAAAACAACAAGAAAGCCATCTGCATGGGAGAACATATTTGCCCATGATATGTGAGATAAGGGTTTAATCTCCAAAATTTACAGAGAATTCATACAACTTAACAAAAGGAAAATGAACAATCCAATCAATGAGTGGGCAAAGGACCTAGATAGACACTGTTCGAAAGAGGACATACAGAAGGCCAAGAGACATATGCAAACATGCTCAAAGTCACTAATCATCGGAGAGATGCAAATCAAAACAACAATGAGATACACACACA